ACAAACACCGAGTGAGCCGGCCTGGAGCTCTGCCCCTGACCCTGAGCCCCGCCCGATGAGAAACACTCCGTCCCAAGGTCTCCGCCCCTAAGGTTAGCCATCTGGACGCGGAGGGGAGGGGGGATTGAGTCTGTTGTACCAGACACCAGACCTTGAGAATATGCTGATCTGGAATGGCTCTGTGTCTTATTTGAACCATCCAATAGAAATGATTCTGTATTTCGCCTCATTTGAAAGACTCTGTGTTTCACCTCATTTGAATAACTCTGTACTTTGCCTCATTTGAATAACCCTGTATAGCGCCTCATATACATTGACCAATGGGAATAGCTCTGTACAATACCTCATTAGAATTATCCAATAGAATCCCTGCTCCTAGCTTGCGCCTTTTTCCCTATATAAGGACCCCTTTCCCTTGGCTCGGGGCGCTTAGCCACACAGAAGCTAAGTCGCCCCGGGTACCCGAGTCTCCAATAAAGCCTCTTGTTTTTGCATCCAAGTTCGTGGCCTCGCTGATTCCTGGGTGTGGGTCTCCCTCTACGAAAGTACCTCTTCGGGGGTCTTTCAATGTATGGTATGTTTGGGTCATGTGTGTGGTATGTGTGTGTGTGGTGTGTGCATGGTCACAAATGTGTGGTTACATGCACATGTGTGTACATACATGTGACTGTCAGTGGGTGACATCTACCATCTTCCTCAATGACTCTCCACCTTAAATACTGAGGTAGGTTCTCTCACTTGAACTCAGCGGTCACCAATTTGGCTACTCTAGGTAACCAGATTCACCCCAGGGACACATGTCCCTGCCTCCCCAGTTCTGGAATTGCAGGGGACCACCATGCCACTGGCTTGTATGTAAGTGCTGGAGAAGCCCAGTTCTGGGGCTGACGCAGCAAGCTCAGCATGGTCTCTTTTAAGCCACCACGTCCTCAGCTCCTGAAAACCCTAATACAAGGCAGAAAGAGATCTTCTCCAGCTCAGTCATCTAGGTCACCCAAGACCAAACTTCTGCAGTAAAAATAACAACGATGCCAGCACACCATGAGCTAAGCTGCATGGCAGGTTCCTGCAGTCTCTGGCACAGTAAAAATAACAACGATGGTAGAATAAAATTACAGAGACCATAAAAATTCAATTACAAGATAAAGTGTATAAACCTCTTTTAAGTATAGCATCTAAAAGATTTCTTTCCAGGCTATAATAAACTGTATTTTCTATCTTTTCTTTTTCCTTAGAAAAAGGAACTCCTGGGGCTTAAAAGATGGTTCTGTGGATAACCTGCTTGCTGTGCAAGACTGGGAGCCTGAGTTCAGATTCCCAGCACCCACATACACAGATGCATGAGGTGGCACACACTTGCAATCCCAGCACTGGACAGGTGGGGGTGGTGTTGTGCTGGCAACCAGTCTAGCCAATCAGTGAGTCCCCCAAAGGGAGTGGCGCTATTAGGAGGTGTGGCCTTGTTGGAAGAAGTGTGTCACTGTGGGGGCAGGCTTTGGGGTCTTTTTCTCAAGCTTCCCTCAATGTGACAATCAGTTGACTTCCTGTTGTGTACAAAAACATAGCACTCTCAGATCCAGTGCCGCGTCTGCCTGGACACTGCCATGTTCCCCATTGTGATGATAATGGAAGGAACCTCTGAAACTGTGAGTGAGCCACCCCCCAATTAAATGTTTTCTTTGTAAGAGTTGCCAGGCTCTGTCTGCCTCTATCCTACCCCATTGACTTCCACCCATCCCCCTCATATGTGTGTGATACCTCCCATCATGTGTGTGCATATACAAATAAATAAATATTTGTATATCAGTTTTCAACATAAGAATTCAACAAGGTCTTATCTTTAAATTGAGGCAGTGATAGAAATTTCACTAAGAACTCAATAGTAAATGGCTAAAATAATGTAAGCTGACAAATTTAGTCATTTTCAACAGAAGTACTTGGCTGGAAAAATTATATTCAGTTCCATTTGGTGGCAATAGGGTGTATGCTTTAAGGTGACCTGGGCCTGACACAAAGACAAAGCTTTGGATGAATATTATCCAGGTCTGCAAGTGACTCAGCTACTGGCCTGAAGCTTCTGTGACTTAAGTGACTTTAAGAAATTGCCATGTTTGCAGAGCGATGGTGGCGCATGCCTTTAATCCTAGCACTTGGGAGACAGAGACAGGCAGATCTCTGTGAGTTCAAGGCCAGCCTGGTCTACAAAATTAGTTCCAGGACAGTCAGGATGGTTAGACAGAAAAACCCTGTCTGGAAAAAAAAAATGAGCTTGCCATGTTCAAAATAAATACATATTGAGTTCATGTTTAAAATTTCTCTTTAGTCATTTACAAGGGTGAATAAAAGAAGGCTAAATTTAACAGACAGTCAAAATGCTAGTATTTGTATCAAGTAGCAAAACTGTATTAAAGAGAAGTCATTTGTGGGGCTTATTTTGTTAAAAATAAAAAAATCACATGTAGCCCAGGTTGGCCTCTTAACTACCTATATTCCTCCCTCACCTCTCAAATCCTGGGATTACAGATGGGTGCCATGTTGGGCTATGCTCATCAACTGAAAACAACTATAAGGCTAGCAAGACGACTCATTGGGTTAAGCAACTTGCTGCCAAACATGATCTGATCCCAATTCCTGGATCCCATCTGATAGAAAAAAAATCAGCCACAAGTTGTCTTCTTACTGCCACACATTGTCTCTGTGTGTGCATGTAATAAATAAATGCATAAATGTAGTTTTAGAGTGTAAAAATCCTATTACACATTTTTCCTGATTCATTAAAGCTATGTTCTTTCATAAATACTTTACCCTGAGGTCCAGCGATCCGGCTCAGCAGTTAAGAGCACTTGCTGCTCTGACCCAGGTTCAGTTCCCCGGACCCACATTAGGCATCTCACAACTATGTGTCACTTGAGTTCCAGGGGCCCAGTGCTTCTTCTGGCTTCCTAGGATTCCTGCACGCATGTGGTGCACAGATATACATACACTCAGGCACACAGATATATACACACAAATAAATAAATCTTCAAATGCTTTGTCTAGAATTCCATATTGTAAAATACAATAGGATCGAAGAATTAGTGAATTTAAAGCCTAAAAGGTGCCTCCCATGTGGAGGTCCCCAGCTTTACCTGAATGTTAAATCCCCATGGTTCTTGTAAAGATGCCGATGGACGATGGACAGGCCTCATCCTGCTCATCTGACTCCATAAGCCTGGGCTGAAGTTCAGCGGGGCTTCTACAGAAATAGCCAGTGTACTTCATGCCCACCCCAGAACAACTCATGTAGGCAGTCTGTAAATTCCCAAGACAAATGGAACTCCTGCCGTCCACAACCTAAACCACAACAACCATATATCATGGAGACAGATTCTGCAGTAGATTACTCTCTGTTCGACCCTTGCAGGTATTCACTGTCTCCTGGGGCCATTATGCCACCAATGGAAGCTTCCAGCAGGAACTGATATGTTAAAAACAAACTCACTCAAACTGGGCTTCCACAGGTACACCAGCACAGACACCGAAGACACTGAAGAAAGCATGTGTGACTGACCTGTTCCTTCTGGTATTTGTTCAAGAGACTCAGAAACAAGGCGTAGCATCTGGAATAACTGGCCAGGGCTGCACAGCAGTCTCGGTAAGAGGTCAGTTTGCTGTGGGAAATGCCAAATGGGAAAATAAGAATAAACTATTTTTTTTTATTTAAGTACACATAGTAAAACTCTCAAAGCAGACCATGCAAACTCATGAAGGGAAGTCCAGAAATACCTCATACAGTCCACAGAAATAGCTGATTCACTGTCCAAGGATTACAGTTGATACAAAGATAAAGTTTAGTTTGCAAAGTCCAGAGAAAACACTAAGAGGCTTGCTGTCTGCTCTAGATTCTAGGAGGACAGAGGGACTTTTTAAGGCCCCATCCTTAGTGGGGTTGAGGACTTCGCTCAGTGGTAAACACTTGTCTAGCAAGCATGAGCCCCTGGTTCTGGTTCCCAAAAGAAGCAGAACCCCCGAAGATGGCAGCATAGTGTCCTACTTTACTTTCTATGGCTTCAGATAAACACCATGACGAAGAGCAACTTTTGGAAGAAAGGGCTAATGTTTTGCAAAGACTAATAGTGGGGGGAAAGGCTTAGCAGTTAAGGGCACTCACTGTTCTTGAAGAGACCCAGGCTCAGTTCCCAACACCCACATGGTGGCTCAGCCTGCAACTCCAGCGCCAATACAGGAAACAGCTTCTTCTGACTTCTGAGGGCACCAGGCACCCATGTGGTATACATACATACATGCAGGCATTCACAGTATACATAAAATAAATCTTTAAAATATTACAAGACTAATGACTATCAAACCTTTCACAAGACTGATCAAGGAAATTTTTAAAAAATCAAACATGAAAAGCCATTTTAATAACAAAGAGGCCACATAACATGGGAGTAATAAGTGTGAATTCTAGCTAGGCGGTGGTGGCACATGCTTTTAATTCCAGCACTCAGGAGGCAGAGGCAGGCGGATCTCTGAGTCCAAGAATTTCCTATTTTAAAAAATTGTTTTACAATGGGTGGGTGGATCTCACCTTTAATCCTAGGACTCAGGAAGAAGAGGCAGGTGGATCTCTGTGGGTTCAAGGCCAGCCTGGTCTACAGAGCAAGTTCTAGGACAGTCAGGGCTACACAGAGAAATACTGTCAGTTTGTATTCTACAGTCAAAAATGCCTGACTCAAACTATAGCTCTATGACCTGCTGATTGTGTGATGTCAGATGAACTGCAGCTCTGTGACTTGCTGATTGTATGACCTTAGCATGAACTGCAGCTCTGGGACCTGCTGATTTATGATGTTAGGATGAACTCAGCTCTGTGACCTGCTGATTGTATGATGTCAGATGAACTGCAGCTATGGGTTCTGCTGATTATATGACATCAGGAATACAGGTGCATTTCTCTGTGCCTCAGTTTCCTTCTACATTGGATGAAGGTGACAATAATGACACCTATTTGATTAGTTCTTGGAGAGTCCCTAGAAGATTGCCCATCATACAGTAAGTACAGTACACATAGTTGCAAAAAAAAAAAAAAAAAACAAAAATGTATCATTAGAGACAAAACTAGTTAAAATGAACATTGATTGATTGAGGTACTAGAAACCGAACCTAGGGCCTCTCCATGCTAGGCAAGCATTCTACCTCAGAGCTACAGAGTACAGAATTACACACCATATTTATTTATTTACTAAAACAGGACCTTACTATGTACTCCAAGCAGGTCTCAGACAACTGCCAACTTTCTGCCTCAGCCTCTAAAAGTTGAAATGGAACCATTTAATGTTGTTTGAAAACTTAGGGGGGAAATGAACAAATTCTCATAAAAAAAAAAAAAAAACTGTCTGAACCTGAACCAAGTGGAAAACATGACAGCATATGTAATCTTTAAACAGGTGAATTAGCTAGCCATTGGCAAGTACCAGAAGTCGTGTCTACTTGGGAGACAGAGGAGGAAGGAGGACCATCTGAGTTCAGCAGTTTGGGATCAGTCTGGCAACAAAACGAGACTAGAGAGAGAGACAGAGACAGAGACAGAGACAGAGACAGAGACACACAGAGAGACAGAGAGACAGAGACAGGAGGAAGAAAAGAAGGAAGGAGGGAAGGAAAGGAGGAAGAAAATAAGGGAGGGAGTGTTAATAATTTAATCAGTAGTTACTATCCACACACACTTTGATTATACTTTCCCATAATTCAAAACTGAAAACACAAAAATAATATTAAAAAGGAAAAGGCAAGATGGTTGTAACTCATTGGCCATTCATAAAAGTGTGGAACGGTGCATTAGTTAACTAAATCCCACAACAGCTTACCATAAGAAAACCTAGGGACTGGGAAGATTGCTCAGATAAAGCACTTGCCCTGAAGGCCTGAAGATCTGAGTTCAGATCCCCAGATAGAAGCCAGGGACTGTAGAACACGGCCTGTCTGTAAGCCCAGAACTCCTATGAGGGATGGGAGGTAGAGAAGTGAACAAGAGAGAGCCTGACTCAAACAGGGTGGAAGATGAGAACCAACACTCCAGCAAACCCTTGAGATTGTCTTCTGACCTCCACATGCACTACACTGAAGCTCGAGCACACACGCACTCATGCACACACGAACACACGCACCCACACCCCAGAAAAGAAAACCTACTAAAGTAATTTACTACATTAATGGATTGAAAAATTAATGCATGTGATCAATGGATCCCAGGCAAGCATATGAATTAACAACTAGGTTTAATGACACAGAATTTTTTATTATGGCTTTCAAATGGTATCTAAAGAGCCAGGCGTAATAGTGCATGCACATCTTTAATCCCAGCACTCTGGAGGCAGAGAGAGAGAGATATCTGTGAGTACGAGGCCAGCCGGGTCTATGTATTGGAATTTTTATCTCCAAAATGAGGTGTGTGTGTGGTGGTAAAACAATTATTTTCAGCTGGTGAGATTGTGCAACAATTCTTTAAAAGTCAGGAAGGAGAGAGCCAGCTCCCTCAAGGTTTGTATTAGAGTCCTAAGCAATGTAATAAAGAAAAGCTGGGCTGGGCGTTGGTGGTGCATGCCTTAATCCCAGCACTCAGGAGGCAGAGGCAGGTGGATCTCTGTGAGTTCGAGACCAGCCTGGTCTACAAGAGCTAGTTCCAGGACAGCCTCCAAAGCCACAGAGAAACCCTGTCTCGAAAAAACAACAACAACAACAACAAAAAACAAAACAAAAAACAAAAAACAAAAAAAAAGAAAAAGAAAAGCTGGGAGCTAGGCATGATGGCTCAGATTTATAATCCTAACATTTGGGAGGCTGAGGCAGGATTGCCAGGAGTTCAGGGCCAGCCTGGACTATGGGGCTATCTCAATATATTAATAAATAAATTAAAAACTTAGGTGGAGAAAAGTTGCAATATTTTGACGAAACAAACTAACATAAAAGAATTTATAGACAGACATATGCTCACCAGATCCTGACTATAAAATTAATAGGTAATTATTGATTATATTTACAATCATCAGTATAGCCTACGAGGAAGTAACTTTTCCATAAGGTCCTGGGAATAAATCTTGAAAGGATGTGAAACCTTTATGGAGATATTTATTAAATTGTTTTAAGGAATATTTTTAAAAAGTCAGGTGAGGTGGCACATGCCTATAATCTTATCTTTAGGAGGCCGAGGTCAGAGGACTGGGCTTTGGACTACAAAGACAGACCCAGCCTCAGAGCAAGAGATAGACGGGAATGGGGAGCCATCTTGCACTGTTGGCCAAGTGCACTGAAGGAAAAGTATAAGTGCACAATTTAAAGGCATTTCTGAAACTGATGAGTATCTAGCTACTTTCAAACAACCTAGATTCAAATGATTATCAAATGTGGGTCGGAGAAAGTGCAAAGGTGACTAGTGAATGTGTGAGCCCAAGTTCAAACAATTGACACAAAATTCTGAGAATGCAATGTTAGAATCGAGCTGCCCAGGCCACAGTCCATGCAGCAACTTTGCCCTCTGGCAGACATCCACAGCACCACTGAGCACTGTCTGCCAGCCTCTACCTTATACACACAAATACAAGAGAGAACTCAAAATAAAGATCAGCATTTGCTTGGTTTGCTTCTCTTTGCTGGGATGAAGCACTGGGGAAAGGGTAGCTTGCCACTCTACCTTTTATATAGTCCAGGCCTATCTGCCCAGAGGTTCGTCCCACTGTGGGCCAGGCCACCTCATATTAATGCCCACAGGCCAGTTTGATGGAGGCCATTCCTCAATTGAGGTTTCCTCTTCCCTGGCAACTCGACTTTATTCCGGGGTCACAAAAACTAACAAGTGCAGCATTTTTAATGAGGTGTCTTCATTGTCTTAGTCTACATACCTAAATATTCTGGCGACATTGGTACAGACATCCTTGTCGTCCATGTACTGTTCCATCACTGTGCAGAGCTGGGGGAAGGCTCCGATGTTCAGGAGCTTGCTTCTCGTCAGTGGTGAGTCCGCCAAGTTTCTCAAAGTAGCAGTTGTCTAGGAGAACGTGTGCTTGTGTCATTTTATTAAAGCTTAAAAACAGAGCAACACCACTAGGAAACCCACGCCTTCTGCCTCCCCGGAGTGCTCCTCAGAGGAGGGGGTAGGGGTAAGGCTTGCACAAGGACAAAGAATCCCAAGTCAGCTCAACTGTGAAGAATGGAAGACCTGGGTGTGGTGCATGACTATAATCTCAACACAAGGAAGCTAAGACTCAACAGTTACAAGTTTAAGGCCAGCCTGGGCTATGAGAGGGACCCTGTCTCAAACAAACAAATACAAAAACATATAGATGGAATATTAATATTTTTAAGTAAATAGTTTACCAAACCTCCAGAGTTAAACAACACCAGCTTGTCTTTGACTGACCCTGTCATAGACAGGAGAGTACTGCATATTAGAACCTTTCAATTCCAAATACTTTTTAAAAACTTTTTATTACATTTATTTATTTAATATGTAATTATTGTGTGTCACACACACATATGCCATATAGCCCATGGAGAAGTCGAAGAACAACTGTGAGAGTCAGTTCTCTGTTTCTACCATGTGAGGTCCAGGGGTCAGATTTAGGCCCTCAGGCTTGGCGGCAAGTGCGTTTACCCACTGAGCCATCTGGTCAGCCCCTAAATTCTTTGTTGTTCCTGTTGTTTTGAGACAGGATGCTGTGACAGGATTCTGTGTAGCCCAGGCTGGCCTCACACTTGCTCTGTAGCTGTAGCTGACCTTCACTTCTGATCCTCCTGCCTGAGATTACAGGTGTGCATCCCTACACCTGGTTTCCACTCTAAATCCTTTTACATACCACTGAAAAAGTGATGAAGCCAATAGTTATGTAAGACTTTTAGTCTCATTTTATTCAGAAGTAAATACTGAGTTCTTATGAATTTAGCACATTTTGCTAAAAGTGTTTTCAAGAAAGCTTTTTGCTTGGACAAGAGGGTCAAGAAGACAGTAACTTGATAAATGTGTAATGGTGATTTTGTTGTCTAGCGATCTTGATTTTCAGTGTGATTTTTCCCATGGGATTCATGGCAAGTCACTCAGTCCCCCAGCTCCAGCCAGCCTTGCTTCCTCACTCTCCCCCAGGACCTTCACCTCAGGGATGGGTGGTACTAACTGGCTGTCTTACCACTGTGAGATGAGATGAGATAATGGGATGTGTGGATGTCATTGCTAGTGTCCACTGCACAGGGTGGCTCTGAAGAGCTTCTCCCAGAGGTGCAGAGGAGGGAGCGTGGCCTGAGAACCGAGTCCCACCCTCACACTGTGACATGACTAGGACTGTCACTCACGCCTCAACCCTTATATCCTCATCTGTGGGAGGCAAAGTGTGCTGCCCTGGTCCCAAAAAAAGCAACAGGTGCCCTTGATTAGTTTTTCCTTTGGATCAATGAAGTGAAATATAGTTTATTAAAATACAGCTGGTCATGTAGAAAACAGAAAGAATGCAAATGTTCCAAATGGATGTCGACAAAACATTTGTAGTTGGCTCCTAAGTTCTTCCTTGAAGGCTTCAACATCACAAATAAGCAGGGAAATAAACTACTAGCACATTCCAGTGGATCATGGACCTCTGTTGGCATCTACGGAGCTAAGGGCGGGGCTCTGTGCGACTAACAGACAGCTCCATGAATTCCAGGCCACGGCTGCTGTAAAACTGAACTCTTGGGCCAGCCCCTCCCAGTCCCCTGCAGAAATAGACAGACACTGGGGCATTACTGATTCATTAGTCTAAAAGTGCTTCTCAACCTTTCTAACACTGAGACCCTTTAATACAGTTCCTCATGTTGTGCTGACCCCCAACCATAAAATTAATTTTGTTGCTACTTTATAACTGCAATTTTGCTACTGTTAGAAGTTGTAGTGTAAATACCTGTTTTCTGATGGTTTTGGGCAACTCCTGTGAAAGGGCCATTCAAGGGGTCACGACCCACCAGTTGAGAATATTTGGTGTAAAGGACGGTTCACCTACTTCCCCCAGAAGACTGGAGAATCAACCAGTGCCCAACGAACTGGTTCCCCAGGGCAGGCAGGGCCATGGGAGCCAGGAACACACATGCCAACCATGCCATGAGGACAATTTCTTTTCTCTGTCTGCCATGGCTGGAAAACTGTGGCTGTAGTGTATAGTACAGTCACTATGTTCCCTCACTAGCCTCCTAAGTTTTAGGATCTAACAGGATCACAGTTTCCCTAGGAACTATTACCTCTTATTTAAACCCCAATTTATCCCTCCCTGCTTCCTTTTCTCTTCTCGAGAGAAAGTTAAAAATTTTACAATTCTTCTGCTCCAAACACATTATTTTTGTAAATGACCCAGTGGCTGGGAATAATGTCTCATACCTGTAACCTCAGCATTTTGAAGGCTGAGACAGGAGGATTGTGAACTGACACCAAGATGGGCTACATAATAAGTGAGATACTCTACCCCCAAAAAGGAGCAATCAGGAGTGGAGCACATGTATTGATACATTGTATGTCATATGACTTAAATCCCTATTTCTGTGCATGCTGTATTGTATGGCGTGCACATAGTTGGAGGGGTAATATATGATATCTCGAGCATTTCCACATTTGTTAGTTGTAGTACTGGCAGAAAAAAAAATGCATTAAGATTATACCCTGTGTGAAAACTACCTAGTAACACCTCAGCACATGACGCCATCAGTCTGGGTGCCCAGATCCAGAAAGTCCCCTTGCTTTCTGTCATCTGAAGCCCTGGTGGCTGTGTCCATTTTTCTCAGGATAAGATTCGGTGACCTGACCATAACCTCAGGATCTGGCTGTTCTCAGTCACTCCAATTCACCTCCTACCATAGACCCCACGAGAACTCTGCACTATGCTCTGGCTTCTTGCCTACACTGGGCCATAAGCTTCAGGGAGGCATATGCTCTGTTGGTCCTTTTGCCACAGAGCCCCCAGGTTCAAGGAGCATATACAAAGGAAAGCTCCCCTGCTCTGAGCATGCTCTGGCTGCCACCATCTCTCTCACAACTTCATCTCTTGCCAATCTCTATAACCCCTGAATAGACACCATCTGCCACTGCAGTCTGTCCGGCTCTCCCAAGGCCACTCACTGAGATGAGGAACTTTCAACATGCCCCCCTCAGAGACTTCCCAAAGCCAAGGGACAATACCCCATCTTACCAGCCCTCACTCTCTTGCCCGTGCCTCCAAATCCACCTCCTGTACCTGGCTCTTTCCACTTGGCTCTTCCCCCCCCCCGCCATACATCATGCTCATCCCCTCCCAGCACCGGCCTTTCCACATATTTCCTCAGTCAGCATGTCTTCCTTAACTACCCTGTAGCCTTGTGTTCACCTGCAGGGCCTAGCAGATCCACTTCTTTGTACAGATGGCATAGTGACTAGTCAGTGCCTTTTTTTGTGTCAACACCACCTTGCTCAAGCCTCTCCCTGGGCTCTTAATTGTTGAATCCCATAGGTTAAACACACACACACACACACACACACACACACACACACACACACAATCATTGCTTTCATATGCCTCCTCTGCCATGGGGAGACCCTCTGTTGTACCAGCCCTTCCTTCCTTTCTTCCTTCCTTCCTTTCTTCCTCCTTCCCTCCCTCCCTCCCTTCCTTCCTTCCTAGGGTTTATTTACTTTTATGTGTTTGAGTGTTTCTGTGTACCCATGCATGTGCACTATGTAAGTTCCTGGTGGCCACAGAGGCCAGAGGGGTATTAGATTCCCTGGAACTAGAGGCATAGACTGTCATGAGCCATCACAGGAGTGTTGGGATGTGAACCTGAGTCCTCTATAAGTGCAGCAAGTGTTTTTAACTTCTGAGACATCTCTCCAATCACACAATCACACAATCCATTTCTTTCTTTCTTTCTTTCTTTCTTTTTTTTTTTTTTTTTTTTTTTTTTTTTTTTTTTTGCA